TGTCTGCCATACTCCGCGCACCGAGCCCCTACTCGTCGTCCCCGCGATAGGAGTGTTCACGGTCCGGTTTTAACCGAATAAAAACCGTCAATTCGGACCGCGGATCGGTTAAAAAAGCCTTAAAAAATCCGGTGGTTAATCTTTTTAACAATCCGGAATAACCGGTCCGGTTAACGGATTACCTGCGGCAAACCGCCGGTTTAACCGGACAGGACCGGTAAATATTAAAAAATCATAACAAATATATATATATATATATATATATATATATATATATATATATATATATATATCCGACAAATACAATACATTCACTTTCACTTTTTGGCCTTTTATTGACTTAATTTTGTAAGACACTATAACTTTTCACTTTTTCCCACCTTCGTTTTTTTATTTTCAAATTTTTCCCACCTCCTCTTCCTAATTTTTTGGGACGAAATGTGTATTTTTATGCTTATGAGACGATTTGTGTATTTTTTATTTCATTATTGTTGTTTTTCTTAATTTTTAGGCCCAAATAATCTCTGTTGGGCCCAAAATTGAAAAATAAAAATTAAACTCAAAATGAAAAAAATAAAAATTGAAGACCCAAAACAAGGATTTTGGATTTAACCGGTTAACCGCCAAACCGGACCGTCCAATGCGGTCCGGATTGTGGCCGGTTAAAAAATAAAACCGGTCCGGTTATGAACAAGAAAAAAAAATTAACCGTTAGATCCGGTTTGGTCATGGTTTGGGCTAAAACAGGACCACTCCAGACCGTAAACACCCCTACCCCGCGATGCACGCTACATGAAATCGAGCACAGGAGCCGCACGAGCAACTGCAGCGCCTAGTCGCACACAACGAGCACAGTTGCATCAACGCAACACCCAAGAGACGCACGTCGCGCACGAAACACGCAGCGACCGAGACGCGAGCGGTCTCGGTGATCTGCACGCGTTCCCAACGACAAACAGTCCACGATACGAGGCGAGAAGATATCTAAGAATCTTTCGTCCAACCCCTTAGGTCGTATAAGTCTGTACAAAGCCAGTAAAATTTTAAGCCGTAAGTGTTCAAACTTAACTTTAATCCGCTTCCTTTTAGGCTTATTTTCGTAGGGTGATCCGTGACTTGCATGATTTGACGTTCCTAATATAACCCTAGTAGATTTGGATATGCGATTTGTAAACTACGCGAAAATATGCCGCATAACATAATAATATCCGATGTTTGAGTTGGATATACGACTCATGAATATGTGAAACGTTATCCAATAAAACAATTTATATTGTGGATTTGGATACGCGAGTTGTAAACTATGTGAAAATATGTCGCATAACCATAAAATATATGACGTTCAATTTGGATGCGCGATTAGACAATGTGCATGAGTACTTCGCATACTTGTGAGCTATGCGTCCGATTTATCATAATTTTTTTGCCAATTAATTATATTGAATATATACATGCGCACCATTTATGTCAAAGCGGTCTTCTCGCAAAGCCTACACGCAGACGCAGTACTGTTGGTTGGTATGGTTGGTTGCAACTCCAAAATTCCATACAATAAAAAGTAATAAAATGGATTAAATCCTTTTCTCTCTCATCTATTCTAGTGAGAGAAACCAAAATCATCGCTGCAACAATCCGATGGAGAAGGCGATGCGTATTGGCAGCATTTTGATTTCGTCTTCGTCTGTGAGCATTGCCATAGTGATTCTTATGCTGCTGCTCATCCTAATCCTCGTCCTCATAGCTTGCAAGTTCAAACCATGGCGCCGGTTCCTGTCCCTCCACGCCGCAGCACGCCGCCGCTCGCCGGCCTCGATCAAGGTATCAACTTTGTGAGATTTCGCGATTTGATTTGTTGACTTTCTCTGTATGATTTTGTTCTTTATTGGTTAGGTTTAGATGGGGTTTGATGGGTTTTGTTTTCCTGTCATGACATTCTTGGTTTTGTTGAGCTGGTGCTTGGACATTGTGGATTATTCAGGACAGTCATTTGATTTTAGATAAATGTTCCCTGGTATTTAAAGCTGAATTTTTCGATTGCTCGTTTGTTGTTTATGATTCCAGTCCTTGCTGGTGGTTATGATCTTTACCTCGGAGGCCATTTTTTTTTTTTTTTTTAACTCATTTGACTAATTTTGTATAGCTTCTCATTTGTTGCCTAATTTGAAGTTTAGAATAGATAAAATGTTGTTTTCTGGGGGTTTGTGTAGAGAGAACTCTTAGGTATTTCTTAGAGATATTATTTTGCTGCATAATATATTACTAAGATACTTCAAATATGTAAACTAAGGTGGGAAGTAGTGTTAACTGCCTAGGATTCTGCTGTTTTGTCAGAATCTTTGTGTTCATTTTTCTTGTTATTCTATAGTTAGGTTGTCTGCAAAGTGATTTCTGAATGAGTTTTAGCTTTTCTTATTTCAAAGATTGGAAATGTGAAACTTGTACCTACAGCAGAATGTATAAACATATAAGAAATGAATTTTGAATTAAAAGCATAAGCCACTTGTTGCAAGGGTCGAAAATGGAAGTCTCAAGTGGCATAGGTATATCACTATGTAGTGTTTTGTGAATGCTGTATTTGATGAGGAGATTCTTGCTACAGATTACATATTTGAAATACCTATGCTGTTAATATGATATTTCTAGTTAATATGACTATGGATTTGTTAATATGATATATCTAGTCTTTTAACAGCGGAAAGGGGCACATTGCTGTGGTCCAATTTTGATGCTCCAGATTCGCTGACTGGAAAATTTCTTATTGTTCAAACGGTTTTTGGACTTTATCGGTGCAGTCATTCTTATTGGGATATACTTGAAATCAATTTCAATTCCATCAAATGGGTCATTGTTATATATGTCATTGCAAAATGATTGAATATTTGTGTGAAAGCTTCTCTTGAGCGTGCAGTGATCTAAACTATGTAGCTGGTTTTCCTTTCACTTATTATTTTCTGTTTTTATGTTGTTACATTGTAACATACCTGATACAGGAAGATGACATAGAGAGACCTCTTATTTCGGGAGGTCTGGGTAGTGCTGAAAGCCAAAATTATGAATCTTCATTAAGTAACTCCATTGGGCAGTCTGGTAGTCCGATTCAGGGGGTAGGATCAACACATTCTACAGCATTAGCACATAAACACAGGCAGTCGGCACCACCAGAATTGACTCACAGTAATAGATACTATCTGTTTCTACTTTTGTTATCCTTTCATACTTTAATATGTCTGAGTCTGGGAGAACACAAATGAAAAGGAAAACATCGTATCTGTTGCTTGTTCCAGGTGATAGTTTTATCCTTGACATCTCAAATACATCGGAGGATTCTTTTGTTGGTCAGACACTTAAGCGTCCACTTCCAGCAAGTCAGTTCTCTGACGAGTGGGCTCGTGATAAAAGAGAAGATATAAGTCATAACCGAAAGTATGGTGCAGATAAAGACACGTACAGAGACAATGTCGTCAATGATACTGCAAAAAGAGGTAATTGTCTTTTCAGCAATTACTCAGGGTGATCTTGCTAGAACTATGGTTGACAGAATATGTAAAAACATGTAATCATGCTGTTATCTTAGAACTGCAGGAAGCATTCTAAAGCTGGAGGTAATTTCTGGTCCTTCTCGTGGACTTCGGTATTCCATACAATCCACCAACACATCCAAGCTTCCGGTCACTATTGGGAGAGTGTCACCCGGTGATATAATTCTGAAGGACTCCGAGGTTTCTGGCAAGCATGCAAGGATAAATTGGAATGTAAAAGTGAGTTTAGATCTTCGGTATACTTGATTTTTTAATTTTTTTTTTTTTGTTTCTATGGGTAATTACATGAAGTGTTGTTGAAGTTTGACCATTTGACCTGATTACAAAAAAAGTTCGGCTACATTTGGGCCTTGCAAATTACTCCCGGGGTTTGATTCAATATCCAAATTGAGGGGCTAAATGTGATGTTTCCATTAATATGAATTAGGGTTTGTAGAAGTTTTCTTGTAAAGGGGATAAATGTAGACCAGAAATTGGCCTTGTTTGGAAGTTGGATTGAACCTTATTTAGAGGTTTGACCCATAAAACCCACTAATTAGCTTTTTTTTGGTAAAGATCTTATTTGATTAGCTTTTTGAGCCCAAAACGCTAATTCTGAAAAGCTCAATATAAGACCTTTTTGAGAAAAGAGGATTCGTAAAATTTTGAAAATAGCTATACAATCCGCTATTTACCAAACAGTTACAAACAGCTAATACAATTCGCAAGTCAAATCAGCTATTACAATGCGCTATCATTTATACGATCATGCAATCAACTATCCGTTGTTATCAGCTAATAGCCAATCTGGGACAAAATCTCAGTGGTATCGTTGTGATTTTCATAGTCAACCTTTTCTTAGTTAGGTCAAACCACTGGGGTTGTTATAATCAATTCTTTGTGATCATGCTTTGATTTATGATTAGTTTCACCCTTTTTGCAGAAATTAAAATGGGAGCTAGTTGATATGGGTAGCTTGAATGGTACAACCTTGAACTCCCAGCCAGTCCACCTTCCGCAGAATGGAAGCAGAGATTGGAGTGTTCCAGTTGATCTCTCAAGCGGAGATGTAATAACATTAGGCACAAGTTCAAAGATTTTGGTAAATTGGCACAACCTTTTTCCATATGAACATGCTGATACTGATTATCTCTACTTGACAAATGTTTTTTTTTTTTTTTTCTGAATTTCGTTTGTTGGGGCAGGTTAATATTACAGTTGGAACAGAGTGCAAGATCCCTTTTGGGATTGGTATGGCATCTGATCCCATGGCTTTGCGTCGAGGAGCGAGAAAGTTGCCCATGGAAGATGTCTGTTATTACCACTGGCCCCTTCCTGGAATGGATAAGGTTCAGGATTACACTCTCGTCTTATTGATTTATATGCATATCTAAAATGGTTATTAGGTTTTTCGAATTTCCACCCTTGCAGTTTGGACTATTTGGTATTTGTGATGGACATGGAGGAGCGGATGCAGCTACATCTGTTAGCAAGTTAGTGATTTTTGTACTTCTGTTGGGCAATGTCAGTTTTAATTTGACATATTGGCTTATAGAGCTCCTACCATGAGTGGCATTCCCTGTGTTGATTTGTTTTCCCAACAATTCGATCCAACAATTCTTTTTTCACTAGCAGTGCTGCTTTTGGTGGATAAGATAAATGGTTATTATCGTTCGGCTTACACGATCTTCATCTTTTATATACTACTTTGTGAAAGATCCTTGAGATGCATTATTCTGTTACTTCCATACCATAAAAAGCATTGTTCTGTGCCTTCTATACCACACATTTCAAGAAGTATCATCCTATTCATTTGGCATAATGTAAATCTTACTCTCCTTTTGGTCTTGTATCTCAGAATAATGCCTGAAGTAATTGCTGGCATATTGTCAGATCCGTTTCGAAAAGAGAAAGTTTTATCTCATCATGATGCATCTGATGTCCTTAGGGAGGCATTTTATCAGACCGAAGCAAGCATTAATCACTATTATGAGGTTTCTACTGAACTTTCTTTCCTCTATGTATCACTTCCAGTTCTATGATGTCCTACGAGAACCATCATTTAGATTTCATGCTATTTACTTCATAGTACTCCATGAGTGAGACAACAAACTATACTTCCGTAATTCCGATGTGAACTTGCTTAAGGTTTAGTTATAATATGTTTGGTTCAGTCTTAAGTAATAAATATTCAGAGGGAAGAATCCCAACTGTCTAAATGCTTAAGGTTTAGACTCGCTCTGGATGGCTATATTGTAACTTTTAAATTGTGGAACATAAACAGCAATAAGTCTTGACTAAGAGAGATGCCAGCGCACTAATTAGAATTTTGTGCTTGCCAATGTTTCTTTTTATATTTGCGTACAATGTTGGTAATATTGTAATCTTTCAGGGTTGTACCGCAACAGTGCTTCTTGTCTGGGCTGATGGTTGTGAAAATTTCTACTTGCAATGTGCAAATGTTGGAGATTCCACTTGTATTGTGAAGTAAGTATTGATTTTTATCGACCTTAGGTATTTTAACTTTGCCAGAACAATGTATCAAGATTGCCATTTTGATGAACTTTTAAAGTGTTATGAAAACAGAACAATGTATCAGGATTGCCATTTTGATGAACTTTTAAAGTGTTACTGTAAAAATTTCGATGTCTACAGTTACTTCATTTTCTAGAGCACGTAATTTCTATAGTCAATCTCGGGAAATGTGTTTTATGCTGTTGACAAACCTGGTGTAGACCTAATCAAACCTTGTACATTAAAGCAATTAACATTTTTAGGACATCTGGTAGCAACCCTTTCCTTTAACTGATGATGAGAGAAGTTTATGATTTATAGAGTTAACTTAAATTTGCAGTTATAACCTCTTCATCCTAACCAGATTCAAACTTTTTTCTGGGCAGTATTGAGGGAAAGCAGATGAAGATGACGGAAGACCACAGGATAACGAGTTATTCGGAAAGGCTCCGAATTCAGTCATTAGGGAAACCTCTAAGAGACGGGGAAACTCGCATATGCGGTGATGAGACTATTAAAGTTTTATCTTTTATTATTCTCATTAATAATCAATTTTATGTGCTCATATTCATTATGTTGTTGCTTTCCAGGTTTAAACCTCGCCAGGATGCTTGGAGACAAATTTCTCAAGGAGCAAGATGCTCGTTTCAGTTCAGAACCGTACATAAGTGAAGTAACCTGCATTGACCGATCAAGCAAGAGCTTTGTTCTTTTAGCAAGGTGAATTCTCTTTAAGGACAGTTTATCTACTGCAAATTTTGTCTCCTTTAGTCTTTTATTTATTTTTGGCCTCCTTTGGTAATATTTAATGCATTATATTTCTGTTCGGATGCTTATGTTTTTCTGCGAACATTTTTGCCTAATTTCAAGATATTATATAGGCGTAAAATTACAATATTTTTCCATGGTTTGACCATAGGTGCTGTTTTGAGTTTGCACTTGTTTACTGTAACTTTACATTAAATTGATAAATTTGTGGCTTTGGATGTAGCGATGGATTTTGGGATGTTATTAATGTGAAGAAGGCAGCTCATCTTGTGCATCAGGTAAACTATGTAAAAGAAGACCACGGCAAGTTTCATGAATTTCAAAATTACCCATGAGGTTCAATACCCAACAGATGTGAATTTGATATTTACAAACAACTTATGAATCTGCCTTTACAACATGTAAAACAAATACTAACCTCAAAGGGAACATTAGGGCTGATTTTTGGGCCCTTTCAAATTTTACAACTTTATGTGTGTGCGTGTGTGTGTGATTTATGAACTCTGCATTGCATATACTTCCCGACAGGCAATGGACAAAAACACGGCCAAAGAGAATTCAGCCGAAAAGATAGCTAATTTTCTGTTGAATGAAGCAAGAACACTGCGGACAAAAGATAATACCTCCATAATTTTCTTAGATTTTACCAGCAGCGGATCGCGTGGAGTGGACTTCAATGATCTGTAGAAGAATAAGAGAAGGATTACGAGTAGGGTTCCGTATATACGAAAAATGTATTATTTTGTTTCTTTTACCATTTTAGCCTCAGTGCATGGGGATGGTGTATGTGTTGCTCTGCTATTCTTGCTCTGAGTTTAGCATGGATATACATATTTATTGTGCCTCTACTGATTGAATCTTGCTGTACAGAAACTTTTGGCAGAAATGTTCAACCTTGTCCATGCCCCGTTGTTTCATTTAGTTTTTATTTTTTATTTTCGAGCAATAAATGTAGTGTTTCTAGTGAAATTATTTCTCAATAATTTCAGTCTCCATCTCCTTGGTGCGTTTCTTTCTACAATATGGAGTTCTATCTTCTTTAATCTCTTCCTTCTCTCTCTAGATCCTTTTCTTATTTATGCTTTTCAGTTTTTTCTATTTAACTTCTCGTTGGTTTCCAATACGAGTAATTAGATTCGTCAAGATATGGAGGGTGCGAAATTAACATGTCGTCATGATTCATCGCGCCCAACCCAAAGGACCTTGAATCTTTATCCCGTGATCAGAACTGGAACATTGCTCTGGTGTCAACTGAAACTTAGGTGGGGAGTAAGTAGAGTACGCAAGGTGTGTCGAACACTGAAATTAGAAGCGGAAGCAATGAAAAATAAATATTGTCTTCGGGGAGAGTTCCACTACTCTCATATCTCTTTCATTAATAGATCGGTTTGCGCGTACAAAATACAACTTGGACTTACATGACTTGGACTCCCTCATAGTTTAGCTAGCAATATACCTAACTCTATGAACTACTACCCTGGCCACCAAGCGCGAACTTCACAAGTAGCTACGAATCCGTACTAGCTATAAAAGCACTTAATCCCTTAGCCCTCGTTTGTTTGGTGGAATAGGCCAGGATATCCTGGCTTATCCCTAACTAATCCCACGTTTGCTATGCAGGATTCAGGCCCGGTATTAAACTAAGGCCCGAGATTAAAAAACAAATAGTCTCATGAAATTGGGATAAATCCATCCTGACTTTTTGGTGGAATTGCATTTATCCTGGAAAAGTAAATGACTGATGTGCCCTCATATTTTTATTTTCGGACTACTTTATCCTTCATAACTCCACTAATTACATCGTTACCCCTATAAAAAGGTACTTTTGGCCAGCAAACAACTCAGACTCGCGTTCGCAAACCCTAGCCCCAAAACAGGTTCTTCTCACTCCGATTTTTTTCCTTCATCGCATGCTGCTGGAAGAAATCCACCCGACGCTGCTTGAAGAAGAGCACAACAGTGTTCTCCGGTCTGCGGAAGTGCCTGAAAGCTCCGACTGAGTTAACGGTGATTATGTGTCTCTTGCTCAGACTTATCTATTGTATAAATGTGAGAATCTGCTGGTAGAACTTTAGGATTTACATAATTTATTTATTAATCTAACTTAATTTTGGTATGTACTCGGGTGTGAATGATGTCAATGCCAGTTGTTATTGTCAGAAATATGGGGTTTGTATATGTGATGACTTTCTGTTTATAATGTGACTCAGTTTACATATGAGGTCTGAATTTGTTGTATCTTGTGATTAAGTGGTCGTTTTGTGTGGTTCCATTTTTGGGTTCGTTGTTTTACGGATTATTTTTGTGTATTTCATTTTTGTGTTGTTGTTGTTTACTAACACGATATGTATGTGGGTTTTCATATGTTTAGTATTTTGTGCAGTTGAGTATTTGAGTCAAAGTGTACAATTTAGTATATTATCTTTGATTTTAACTGTACTTGGGGTTCACACTGTTCAGTGGAGTAGTCAAAATAGAAACCGAACAAAGTTGGAGGATCATGAGTTATCTTTGCGGCACGTTTTATTTGTTGGACATTGAATCTGAATTGTGCGTTGTGATTAATGGTTGAAGAAGATAAGTGGAAAAGTTGAGCATAACCATGAGCATTTTCCACAGAATTGCCCTTCATTGTTTTTCTTTTCACATTTTATCATCTCTATCTATCTTGTGCAGGAGTACAGTGTGTTGCTTAAATTACATATGGGGTTTGAATTTGTTGTTTACATGTGAGAAATATGCGGTGCAAATAGTTTGATGCATTGTTCTGTTTATATTTACCAGCTCCGATTGTGATAACGCTGCTTGAAGAAGAGTATTCGTAAAAAAATATTGCTTGAAAATTTGTTATCTTTTCCTTTTGAGTATATAGTGGTGGGTCTTGAAAATTTGTTATCTTTTTCTTGTGATATTGCTTGACTTGTATGTGTTTACATGTGATCTTGAATCATTTGAAATGGGTTGTGTCTATTGTACTCGTTGTTCTTGCTCTCTGTTCTTCGGTTCTTTTTTTTTTTTAGTTTGACTCCTAGGCATGGGTTGTTGGGTGACTTGTTTGTATGAATACAAAAAAAAAAAAAAATGAGTGAAGTCTGTATAATTCTTACCATCAGACTTTGAATTGCTTGCTTTTGTTAATTATAAGGGCAGTATCCTCCATTATAACTTTTATTGGTCATCTTTGAAAGAAAACTAATTCTAGAAATTTTTTCATATGCATAAAAGACAGAAATAATAATAGTTTTTTTTTATTACAAATGTGTCATGTAACTCTGTAGCAGTTGCATGCAAAATAAGTGATAAAAAAGAAGATACTTGCCTCTATATATAGATAAGTATGATTGAAGCACCACAAGAAAGTATTGAAGTTCTACTTCTCATTACCTTTCCAAATGTCTATGTGATCATTTTCTGCCTATTGATAAGGAATGCCTCAGCTGGCAAACTTTATTAATACAACTATTACACATCAAAAGTGACAGGTATAATATAAAACATACATGTTAGAAGACATGCATCTACTTGAACATACAATGACCACTTTATAACTTTTGTTTGTTGTTATGTGTTTTATATTTACATCACGTTGTATTGATGTCTGCGGCAGATATTGATTGACATGGACACGGAAGAATTCGAAACTGTTTTGGTTCTCGATTTAATTATAAGTTTAATAAGAATCATTTTGGTCTTCTGCCATGTCTATAAAAAATATGTGCATGACCGTAGACGTCGGTGTACCATGTGTCGTAGGAGTTGTACACCTATGTATCGCATGGCTGACCGACTTAATAGTCAAATCGTCATTTGACTCAACTTATAGAAATCAGTTACACAAATTGTATCCAACAACTTCGTATGGATCGAGATGCCTTTGGTCGGTTATGTTTTTTGTTAGAAAATATGGGTGGTCTCGTAACCACTAGAAATGTTCCAATAAGTGAACAAGTAGCGATTTTCTTAAGCATTTTGGCACACCATAAGAAAAATAGAGTCGTCAAATTTGATTTTAACCGGTCGGGCCAAACAATAAGCAAAGTATTGAACAATGGGCTTGATGCTGTGCTTCGGTTATATCCAATTCTACTGGTACGACCATCTCCAATCGAAGAAGGTTGTACTGATCGAAGGTGGAAATGGTTTAAGGTGATAGTAATTAAATTTCATTATTATTATAAAAGTCTTTCAATTCTTATTAAGTTTTCCTATATCATGAAATATAAATATCATGTAGGGATGCCTAAGTGCACTAGACGGAACGTACAAACCTGTTTGTGTCCCATCACAACTTCACCCCCGTTACAGAAACCGTAAAATGTTTATATCAATAAATATGCTTGGGGTGTGTAACCAAGACATGAATTTTACTTACATTTTAACGGGTTGGGAGGGGTCAGCTGCTGATGGCCGAGTATTGAGAGATGCCGTTACTAGGCCAAATGGTTTGCGTGTCCCCATTGGTTAGTTCCATCTACGTCTTAGTTTTAAGTGTAATCATAAAAACTAAATAGAATGTTGTAATATTAATTTTAGTTTCTTTTGACATACTATCATCAGGTAATTACTATCTATGTGACGGCGGTTACACGAATGGTCCAGGATTTTTAGCTCTATATAGAGGAGTTCGTGATGGCGACGAGACGTATTTGGCAAAATATGACCGACTTCAAGTTTAGCCGTTATTTTTATTGCTATTATTTATTGTTTAGTTGCTGCTATTATTTAGTAAGGAATTATTATTGCTATTATTAATTTTATTTCCTAGCTTAGAGGTTTAAGAGTATATAAATAAGGAGTTTCTCATTGTAAGGGTTCCTTGGTTTTGAACGATTGAATAAGAAATCTCTCTTGAGTTTTATCTGTTCCCATCGTACGCTTTAATCTGCATCAGTTGGTATCAGCAAACCAGATCGATTAACGATGCCGCCTAAACGATGCGAAGACAATCGACGAGACGCCCATCTCCAGGACTTGGATCGAAGAACGGACGACCTAGGCTTCCAGATTGAGAGGGTTAATCGGAGGGTTGAAGGACTTTCGGAGGGGATCGACGAAATTCGACTGGCTATACGTACCTTGATGATGGGTGAGCAAAAGAATCGTGACCCGGCTGGCCATGGGGGTCGCGATGGGAGACGCGGCGGGCGTGGCGGCAAAGAGCATGGCGGGGCGCCCCGTCATTGTTCGCCACCTCGGGTGCACGGCGATGACAGTTGAGACGATACCCCTTCGGATGTTAACCCTTTCGGCATCCGACGGGACCAACGTGAGGACGAAGACGACGGACAACAGCAGGATTATTTGGACGACGGAAGCTGGGGAGATGGCCGCGGACTGCACCGTGCGGGAGACGACAGAGATGGCCGTTGGGAGGTCGGCTTTCGTGTGGAGGTGCTAGAATTTTCCGGCGGGCTCGAGATTTTCTTGATTGGATCACCAGTGTCGAACGGGTACTTGATTTCAAATAGGTCCCTGATGAACGGCGCGTTGGCCTCGTAGCGATGCGTTTGCGTGGACGGGCTGGAGCTTGGTTCACCCAACTCGAACGGAGGCGGCATCGGCTGGGTAAGTCAAAAGTCAAGTCTTGGGCTAAATTTCGTAAACTTATGGCCGAAGAGTTTCTACCGATTAACTATGAACGCACTATGTACCAAAAATTTCAAACTTTTCGACAAGGGAATCGGTCG